ATGCGCCGCTAATATGAGCGTATAAAGCTCCGAGACTGCGCTCATAGCGTGTCAAAAAAAGAGGGTGAGAGAAGTTTTACAGGTTTCGCATTACATCATTGTCACCCCGGAGCACCCCAATAGGCAGCTATACATATAGGTAGGCGGTGGATGTGCGCGCCAGCCCCTCGAAAATCCCCCATTTACGTGTCTATGTCGTTATGTCCCCCGTTAGAGGGTGGTTTTCAAACGATGAAATCGCCCGGACCACAACCAAGATTTATTCAATTAGAGTTATCGTGCTCTCTCTCTCTCTCTCTCTCTCTCTCTCTCTCTCTCTCTCTCTCTCTCTCTCTCGATTCTTCCCGCAGACTATAGAAATATACACTCAACGCAAACATTTAGTGTAAAATTTTCATATTAACCAGCACATCTCGATTCTTGGGAATCATGTTTTTTATCCACCGCTTTCAACCTCGATTCATTCTTCTGGAATGCTTCGAAACTCCCTGGAACTTGCTGCGATAAATTTTACAAATTTGCACAGCAAACCGTCCGGACATTAGTCGGCTAGTTCTTTCCCACTATACGTACAGAGATGACGTTTTCGCGAGGACGAAGACGAAACGCTGCCTACGACGATTCTTCGCGCTGACCGTGCAGTCCCGCCAAGGCCGCGTCGCGTTTTATCGGCTTATCAAGTCGTAGTCGCGCCGAGCAGTTCGTACACGCTGTGGGAACTAAAGAATCATCGCGTCATACATCCAAGAGGTGTATTTATAGCGCCTCCAGGAAGGATCTCCTCGATGGGTCCATGTGCAAGGCTGATTATAGCACGGCTTGCTGCATCGACTCTTTCCTGCTGCTACAGATAGCCGTTTCGCGTTGGAGAAAATGAAAGTTTAACGTAGAACGCTTCGCGACAATTCTTATAATTATTACAAAATTTCTTCTCACTCCCTCACATATAAAATAACAGATATTCTGAATAACAGTGAAATAAAAGGTATTTCAGAAATGAAATTTATTGAGATTTATTTCTAAATAAAAATTATTTTTAAAATATCTTAAAAGCAAAATTATTGAGCTTTATTTCCAAAATGAAGAGAATAATATCTAAGATATCTTAGAAATAAGAGTATCTTAGAAATAAGAGTATCTTAGAAATAAGATTATTGAAGAAAATATATTTTTGCATAAAAAATTAATTAACTAGTAAGAAGTGATGCATAAAATTAATATTACAACTTTTACGAAGTACTGAACGAAAGTTGCAGATATAAGACACACCAATAACCTGTAACTACTTAAGAAGCACGTGGCGAAAATAAACACCAAGTCAAGTATGTATTCTATTACCGTTTCAAGCTGTTTAGCTAAAATAATGTTGATTTTACGATCCCTCGGGGGTATATTTTGTACAGGTATAAAACCGCAGACCTGTCAAAATATATAAGTGCAATTCATTACTTCCAAGCCCCCCGAAGTTATCCACGGGGATGCTATCCACGCAGGTAGGCCGACAGTCATTGTACGGCGCTTGCCCAAATGGATTTTATACGCTTTTACACCGATGAAGGTAGACGTTGCTACCTTTTCGTGCTCAACAAGGTGTAAAGCAGTCTAACCAAAAATTCGACAGCTACTTATCCGCGTGGATTCACTATCACAGCGTGATATCACGGCTTATAAGTACCTCGTACAAGACCATCAAATGAAAATTATCATATCTCGCCCTTGCTTGCGCGATGATCCAATCTCAAAACTTGAAATTTTCTACGCACTGGAAGTCGACTTCTTGACGCGCACTCGAGCGCTTTTTATTCTAAGTTCCATTTTTCGTGCACGAGTGTCTTGTGTCAAGTCGTTTGAGAATAATTAAGACATACTTAACGTCCAAATATACGTCAAGAATACGACCCTTGAAGAGTGTAAATTTGCTTCTCTTGTATTTCACTGAGATATTTTCTAAAGTACATTTTAACACGGCAAGAAAGCGTGGCAGAGATAATCCGGCCGGGAAAGGGGCGAATCGCTCATCTTTGGCCCGGACGATATTTCTCTCGACATTTTCGCCGCTAACGAGTTCGAAGGACGAAAGGCACCTGCGGCAGCAGCGATAGCGACGGCGGCGTCGACGACGACGGCGATTGCCTGCAACCGCGGTCGTTTATTAACTCAACCCCCCGGACGGTGATATCACGCGCGACATAACTTACGCTTGGACAGGGTTGCAAACTATATACACTCCGCGGGGATAAGCGTACGTAACGACGCTAAGGTTATGGTGTTACGCGCGGATGGTGGAGTGGCACGGTGTCCAGTGACTCCCATGTCGGCTTGTTATCCGGACCGCCCCGTCGTTATCTGCAATTACCCCAAAACAGCCCCTAGTTTATAAATTATAGGCCACCCCCGTGCCCCGCATCCGCCGTAACCCTCTTCTCGCGCTCAGCTCGCCGCCCGCGCCACCCGCTGTTCAGCGCGAACTCTGCGCGCCCGGCCTCTTCTCCGCCCCTCATCCTCGCCGCTGCCGTCGCTGAACCGGTGGTGCATCTGTCATCAAACGCAGCCAATTACGTTCAATTATCCCGGTCACCGGTACACCCGCTGTCGTGTTATCGCCGCGTGTTATCATCCGATGACGCGACCGCGCGAAGAATAAATTCCCGGCCAATTAAGCGAAACTGTGCCGCGGTAATTGTTAATTAGACGCGTGCTGGCCGATTACAAGTCGCGTGTGATTCGCGCGAATACCGATCAGCGAACACGCACCCCGAACGATCTTCTCGTCAGCTTTGATTATTACTGTCTTATATCTTATTTACCATCACGCCAAGCTTTTCTACTTCTTTTACAAATGCCGATGCATTTTCTTTTGCAACGGTTGTGTTCATGAATATTAACTGGAAATTAGAAATTACATAATGTAACGATCTAAAATAACCTCAGATCGTTAGATTATCGTTAGATATCCTTAAATCGTATTCTAGCTAAGGATCGCACAATTTAAGGATCACGGAGCTAAGAATTGTTTTCTTTTAGCGTTTTGCGATCCAAGATACTCTTAAATTAGATTATCCTTAGACATCCTTAGGCGTTTTTATCCAGTAAACAAAAAACATCAGATGAATATCTTGAGATATTGATTTTATATGTATTTCTTGAAGATTTTCGTTTAATATTTTCGAAATATTTAAAATATTTCAAAGATATTGCCGGAACGATCTTTTTGGATATCACAAATATTTTGTAGAAATATATGGAGGAAATATAGAGTGTCAAAATTATTTGCAATCATGTTAATACAACGTTAAAAACTACATGTTAAAAAATGTTACACTATTAAATATCATTGTAACAACGTTTTATTGATAATTTCTTGCTTACTGGGTAGACATCTAACGATCTAAGAATATCACAGTCTAAGTATTGTAGTATTTCCTAGCGTGTGTTTCACGATTGTTTCTCGAGGGTTTCGCGAATTTGCTCGATATGACGTTAAATTAGATATTATATTACAGAGCGATACGATCACAATTTCCGCGAGGGGAAAATTTCGCAGACTGGAGCGGCGATTTTTCCAATATCTTTCGTAAGCATCCGCAGGCCGGCGCGAGGCCAGGACGCTCTCGCGGACGGCGACAATGCGACGAAGCGTCCTGCGTGCGCCATTGTCATGAGAGATTTCAATAGACATTGCGACAATGAGCCGTTGACGACGGTGCTGCGCGCGTTGCGCAAAGGGCCGCGCGCTGGGCTCCCCTCGCAGACTAGCATAAGCCTGCTTGACTGTACTTTTCGCCGCCCTTTTCCACAGCGCGAAATTATTATGTCTCCGACCCTCGGCCGTGCCAAATAGACATCTGCTTTCGAAAGGCGTAAATACCCGTGTAGTAGAAAACGAGACGCGATTACGAGAAATACATTTTGCTATGCTACGATGTTCCCTCGTCGCAATGGATGGATATTGGTCGAATCGTGGAGATAACTCGTGGTGGATATTTATCGAATATTTTCCTGAACATCGTGAAATCACGCTGTTAAGTCGGCAACATAATTCATTGCATAATCAAAATGTTGACACACTCATTGTATATAGGTAGACTCATCAAAAACACCTAGATTTCTGAGTTATTGATCAAACAAGATCGGTCACGCGCGTGATATGGCAGTAAATGAACTGTGACAGCGTGTGCTTCAGGTAAAACTGAATAAAAAAGTTTAAACGTTTAAAATGACCACGTGTAGATTCTTAGTTACTAATTAAAAAAGATTGGCGCATTGGCAAAAAAGATCACGCACAATCATATGCACCAATCTTCTTTAATTAACCTTTTAACTACGGCTGTCGTCAACGAAATGGAATTTTCCTGAAATGGCTGTTGTCAATAAGCGATTTTATAATTTTACTTGGTTTTGTATCGCGGCAGGATTTTTAAAATTATTCCCGTAGCTAAAGGGTTAATAACTCAAAACTTTACGTGGCTATTTGCGAAATATTAGAAGAATTTTGTGTTCAGTTTGATGAGTTCTACCTGCACACAATGCATTAAGAGAAAATTTATTATTATAGAGAGAGAGAGAGAGAGAGAGAGAGAGAAAATTTACTACTATTATCAGTAATATTATAGTAGATTTCAATTTTAAAAAATGGTTTTCTCGACCATAATTATAGCAATTTCTCTGTATGATTATAGTTACAAATATCAAACATTTTCTTTCAATACGGGTGTGTCAATAATTGTCATCCACTGTGTATAAATAAATTTCCATGCAAATTGAAGATATTACTATAATAAGACGAAATTATATCAATATCGAAGTGCTTTATATATTTAAAATAGGCACATATTGAGTATCCAATGTGCCTTTTACATTTAGAAAGGGATTTAAAACTTCTTAAATTGGCAAATCTATTTAAAATCGAGCTCATACAGTAAAGGAACGACAAGTATTTAACATCGATCTAATGGCTGTCGAAAGAATTCGTTGTCAATTACGCGGGACAGACGATCGAGTGAACTTGTATAACAGCCTTTATTTTATCGATATGATACAAGTTTAGGAGATGTATGTCCACTATATTACTTTAAATCAGAATCCATCTCCCCGTTATCGGTTCAGGCGAGATGTAGTAATAATTGTTACAAGATCTCTTTCTTAACGCTGCGGCTATAGGTCAAGCGATATGATTCATAATTTGACGTCATTCCACAATAGAAACGCCGCAATTCAGCGATTCGCGTCGCCGCGCTACGTCGTCGTTTTCATCGTCATTTTACAGTTTTCTGAAGAAAAAGAAAAGAAAATTAAAACATCTAGAGGCTAGATCGTAAAACGTTCCAGCCGTCGATCTACTGACAGTACGCGAGACGAGAGTCGCGGAATTGCGCCGTCTTGTCCCCTTAATTGCTACTGTCCGTTAATACCTATAAGATTGACTTTAGCACAAAAATACATTTTCGTAATTACAGCTAGACCTTTCTCGTGTTAGTATCACGGTACCGCGAGCATGCGTGACGTTCATTCGATCCTTCCAGCTTAGGTGTCAGAGAACGATGCGCCAAGAAGGGAATTCTTAGCGAAGAGAACAAATTGAAAAAAAAAAACCGTAATAAACTGAGCCGCTCCACGCTCAGGAATCTTTTATACAATGAGAGACAGACATAATGCTGTTGCCTCGTAAATAGATCAGTTCACCTTCGTGTAAAGTTTGCCATCTCTGCTACTCAATCGTGAGAATCGTGTGCAAATCGCTTTTTCTTGAAGGTAATAACAAAGAATTTGCTGAGAATCTCAATCATTTAGTTATAGATCTCATAAATCGTCACGATATTCGCACAACACTGCCGGCCACATCTACCAGTCGACAATAACGATACGTCTTGGAAATACGATATACAATATCTGTCATATATTTACACATGAAGTAACTTTAATATGCACTTGGAAGACAGAGGTTTATATATTATGCATATATCGATATAACGTAGGTTTTTCTCCTTGTATATGTATCTATATATATAGTTTATGTATATATTTATACGGCCCACATGTGAGCGCGTGAGAGTGTATAATTTCAAACACATACACGCGCAGACACGTACGCTTCATACACTTAGGTACGCCATAACTTGTTCGTAACTATTATTTATCGCGCGCCATCGCCAGCGATCAGCTATATATCCCGGATATATAAATGAACTATCGTTTCAAACCACCGTGTGATATTCACCTTATTTAAATAGCAAACCATGCAATACCATAGCAGAATTTGAATAGAAGTTTGCACGGATCCGGCGAGCCCGTGAAGGAATATCATCACGCCTCACAAATCTCGTCGAAATTAATCAAATCACACATTCCTAACGAGCGCGTGTCCACGAGGCCTCGTGAAGTTATTTACGAAAGGTCTCAAGTATCGTATCGAATGAAAAAGTGGAACTTTCCCGCGAAAAACGGGAGGAAGAAAACAGAAAGGAACTCGCGTGTGGTTGTGCCAACACCAATCGTGAAATCATTTTCGTGCGATATAAATTTGATTTGTGACACACGTAATGAGTTCGAAATATTTATGTCGGCTCTTTTGGTATTCAACCATATATCAAGAAAGCCATCACATGTCACGATTGTTTAACCTAACAGTGAGAGCTGTTGCGAATACTGTCGAGGCAAGTTCGGGAAATCCAAATTCGACTGTCTGAAGCAGTATTTTTCGCAACACTAACAACAGCTTTGATTTAAGAGATTCGAGAAAGAAGTATGTAGAAAAGAATATGTAATATTAAAAAATTGTGTCCAGTATATACTGGATTGATTTGATATTCGTATTAAATTAGAAACTCCGCATACATAAAAAGTCCGGGAGAAGCGAAACGTACGTTACACGTTCGAACAATTGCATTCTTCCGCTGTAAGTTTAAATTATCGTGACTGACATGAAACGACGGCTCTTAAAAGCCTTTCTATCTTGATATACGTGTCTCATCACTCATGTACTTGCACAATATATCGCGCAACACCACACGTAGAATAATAATTTCAACGAAACAACCGTTTCACCGTGGCGTGCACGCAACGTCACTCTCATTACGGAGTCCAGTTGTGCAGTAGCTTTGAAATCGATATATTAATGGAAATATTCCGAAGAAGATTTGAGAGAAACAGACTCGAAAGAGATACATACGTAGTTACGCGATTTCCCGATCGTATACCACCGTGAAATCAAGCGAATGATACCTGAGAAGGAATCGCGAACTAATTCGGATCACAATTCATTTCCACCTAAGACACAAACGCACGACATTAACTGATTTAATTCTATATTTACAGGCTAAGTACCTTAGACTTAAATAGATTTCGCAAATCGAGAGCTTATACGAGGCTAAACGCTATATAAAGAGTAAAGTATAGTCGAGCAAACGAATGAATCGGTGGTAAAAAATCGTGAACGACCTGTTGGTAAATTATAGCTCGACCGCTATGTACAAGTAATTATAAGGCGTCATCATCAAAATGTTATCAACACCTTACATACGCGCTCGTCAATTACACCTAGCCTCCCGTTAATTATGCGTCTAATCTTTAGCTGCCAAGAAGGACTGCGTTTCCGAGGCGTGTTTAGAGCCTCATTCGAAATTTTCGATATGGATTATATTGATCGATGTGGCTGTACCGCCACAGGTGCGATGTTCGCGAAAGGATATGATATTTTTTTGAGGAGAAAAAGTCTACACACGATTGACTACACCCCCCAAAGTTACGTTCAAGAAAGGACAACTTAATTCTAATCGTATGTTCGCGTGATGCAAAACATTTCGCGAGACGTTAAAAGATGGATCTCTCATGTATCCTAGAAAATTATGCAAAATCCAAGGACCTCGTAATCAATGCAATCCTTGCTACCGCGTAATACACGAGTAACAAGTTGAAAATGTTCTCCTGCCTCCGGTGATCGCGTATATGACGACGCGTGGACCGTAATCTATGAATTGGAGAGCCTATCGATACAACCATCCGAGTTTGCGATTACGACGATGTCGTTTCCATTAAGACCCCAGTGCTGGGATTCTGTATTTCGTTATTGGAGTTAACGACAGTTTCGTTATCGTTACGCAGCTTTTGTATACCGTAGGAAAGCTGCACAACGATAACGAAACTGTCGTTAACTCCAATAATGAGTTATAGAATCCCGCTACTGGTCTCACTGCTGCGAAACCCTGGACTGATGACGTCACTAGGGAGAAAACGCACGTCAAGAATTCTTGCGTGTCATTTTCAAATAAGAAGATATTTAAATGAAAGAACACTTCAGGAACATACTCGTAAAATACCTCGAAAATTACACTTTTCCTTGACAGTCGCGGTAGACAGTCTTAAAATTAACGCGACAAGATCATGAGAAAAGACAGATTAAGGAGCAAGGTTACATGTCACGTTAATTTTGCGGCTATTTTAACGACTGCCAAGGAAAAAAAGTAGTTTTCACAGCATTTTACGAGTATGTTTGAACAATCTAAAGTGTTCTTTCGTACAAATATCTTCTTACCTTACAAAAATGGTAGGCTGTATGTGTTTTTTTGCTACTGGCGTCATGAATCCAGGGTTCCGCAATAGTTGTACGAGATGCCCTAAATTGCGAACGAACGAACGAACGAATGTGTATTGTTGACGTTCAGCGTGCACAATTGACAGACGTGTCGCGCGTATATTAGTGGCGAAGTTCCGTCATACACCGTCGCTGCCACTTTCATGCTCGACGATAACACTCACGACATGAATCGATGACATCTAGTTCACTGTATTTATCATTATGTATTAGTACGCGGTTAGTGACGGTTTTCTAATTACAAAAACGACAAACGACGTTTGCGGTGAGCATTACGAGTATCAAGACGATTCTGCCTGTCCTAGTTTTACGGACAACCAACAATCTTACACGAGAATGAGATGACAACCTACGCGTACAAGTAATGTCCGGAGATATGTAATTGTCATTAAAATTTTACAAGAGCGTCGAGTTCAAAGTAACAACCGAAATTCATCACGGGACGACGGAAATCACGATGTCAGTCATCGGTATTGCCTTTGTAAGCCTTGTTCAGAAGACTATCTTTCAAAGTGACTGAAGCATTCAGGTACACCCCGACCCCGGTACTACCCGCGCAAACGAATCACTGCAGACCTCTTAAGAGTGCATCGTTCGTAAATGTATATTTATGATAGAATCTCTCAGATATGTATTCAGATATGTGTATCTACCTACGATGCTAGAATGATACCTCGCCTGACGGAACACGTAGCCTATTCTAAACATCGCCTGATTTCGTGTAACTCAACCGTTTAGTCGATGCCAAGTATCTCTCATGGATAATCACACGTGTGTCCGTCCTGATACGAGTAATTGGAAATCCGCCGATTCCGTTGCGTTCGTATGTTCGATGGAAAAGAAATGCCCGACGTGTGAAGCGACGAGACTCTCGCTTTCGCAGGGTGACTAACGCGAAGTGTCGGAAGGAAAATACTACGAGCCCTATTCGTGAACGAGGTCAGTTTTTGTCTCATGTTTTTCTTATCTTTTTTTGGCGACGTGGTTTTTGGCATCGTCGTGACAATGACTTTGCCTCTTTTACTCCATGGTATCGTATTTAACCTTCTTCACTTTGAAGTATCGATAGGCCGCGTAGCCGGTGATTGTTAAGAGGACCGCAGCAGCCAATGTGGAGCCGACTGCCACAGGTGCGGTTTCGTCTCTGCCGGCACGAGCGCTCAACGAAGTGCACGAAAACTCGGCGGCGAACTCGTTGTTCTTGAACTTGAACGGCTGCAGCTTCATGTCTCTGGAATTTCGTGCATCATTTTCGCATCAGTGTCTCGCAAGTCTCTCTTGCACGCAGGATTGACAGTGTTTTGCTAGCGTTACATCAGGTCAGGTCAGGTCAAACAGTTCGGTTCCATTTGTAAAGAAATGCCAAAACGATGACGAAGAATTGTAAACAACGACGGTGATTCACGGCGATTTTTTCACTCAATGTTGATGAATCATTCATTTCTATGAATGGGATTGAGTTAAAGTGACTCAAAAATCAAATCCAACTCTTTGAGTTTTTTGAACTAATAAAATTACATTTTAAGGTAAAAGTATTAATGTCAGGATACTAATAACATTGATACTTAATTCTGGACATTATTTATCGTTTTAGTATTTAAATATACGAATATTTAAGTTACCAATGAATAAAAATACACGGAGAAAATATATATTATAATTTTCTATTTTCACATAAATTCTTTTCAATCTTATTGCCCAATTTTATGTTTTTACTAGTAGAGGAAAATATACTGTCAGTATAAGTCTATTTTGTTAAAGGACATGATAAGTTTTGCTAAAAACATAGTGAATGTCTTAATATAACTGAAATATAATATGTCAGTTTCTAAAATAAACTAGCGCATATGAAATTAAAGGACAGTGAATTACTGTAGATCTATGTCCATCTATTTCTCAAAATCCTATAGTAATCTTCACTATAAAATTCTGTCCGTGTACATACATATATTCTATGTTAAAAGTTTAAATATTTATATATTTTAAATATTTATATATTTTAAATATTTATATATTTTAAATATTTTAAATATTTTAAATATTTTTAAATATTTTATATAGTTTAAATATTTATATTCAAAAACCAAAACAATAAGAATTTCTAAAATTAGATAACAGTGTTATTAGTGTCCAGACATCAGTAGTTTTATCTTATCCAATAACCCCTTGTCCACAACCTTGCTTTAATCTTTAAGCTGTAATAAATTGATCAACCATAGTCAATTATTTTAAAAATAATCAACTGTGGTTGGTTAATTTCTTACGGCTTAAGAATTAAAGCAAGGTTGTGGACAAGGGGTTATTGTTCTTTCAATTAGTACTAATTCATTTCAGCTATTATTTGAAATATACGACGAATACATGATAAATGTTCTGTACAAAAAGTGATATTATGTAACGACGGTTTTACCTGAGCAGCACGCTTGCGTGGTTCTTGCCGTCCGTCAGCGGGATCTCAGTTTCACCGGGGCAAGAGTACGACTTTCCAACCGGCGTGGGAAACAGCATGGAACTGTGCTTCTGACCGGTGCTCAGGCGAATGGTCTTGTCTGCAACATGAGCGAAACAATTAGCTTAGCGTCCATTGATGCTCTCTCGCGCGTAATCAATAGAATTAACAGCGATTGTGCTACTTACTTGGTTGATCAATATGCTCGAAGTGCTTGTCGCTGGAGTTGTAGGTCAATTCGATTTTCTCGACGTACCAGCGCTCGCCACCCGGCGTCTGCAAAAGAAAGTCGCGTGTCTCATCGAGCGTTCCTGGGAAAATCTTACGTCCGGTCGGCCATCCCTCCACTTCTCACGGTTACATCCGAGTTAAACCGCCGGCGGATCAAAGAAAGAACGTCGGCAAATCAGAGGCCGCGTTTCCCGCTATGTTCGCGTGCTTAACTAACATTTCTTATCAGCGATTTTTTTTCTTTTTTACAAGATATCAACGTGTTACATCTGATGAACCGTTTTTATCATTTATTCGACTACACGCCGTGCCTGCTGCTTAAAGTATAATTGTGGAATATCGTGATAGCTACCGGCACGCAATCAACGATATGAAGGTGAAAATGGTGAATGGACTATATCTCAGTAAAAGGGTCACCTATCGATCTGCGCAAAAAGCAACCCCCGTCCCTGGCAACTCGGATGATTTATCCTCCAGATAATTGTCTCTCCAGCCGGGAACTTGTCTCTCGGCTCGCAGCTGGGGATCGGGAAGAAAAGAGAAGAGCGAGAAATTACCTTAGCGAAACTCCAAGATAACACAAAGGCCTTCCACTTCAACGACATCGTCACCGTATTCTCGTTGTCGCAATTGCCGGTCACGGTCGCGTCGTCAGGTACATAGATATCCGCCTCCTACAAATTTCAATGCGATTACTCGTTGATTCCTCCCTTCGTCCCTAGACGATTTGTCAATCTCATTCTTCCTTCGAAATTTAGTTCGCAGCGACTAATTCTTACTTGTTCGTTGTCAAACAACGTGTGATACTTGACGGTGATGAGTGCGTCCACTTGAAGGAGAATACAGGCTTGGCCGTTGCTACGGTCCAGTCGATACAATGGCAGCTCCGTGAAGAACGGTCTCGGCGTTGTCGAGGGCATGGTCGTGGTCGTTTTAAGTTCGGAATTGACTATCGACTTAAAAAGACGATAAACGAGGTGATTGTCAACAATGGTTACTCACGGATCGACAGCGGTACTCGCCATTATCGATAAAAATAGTCGCGTGAGAATTTCGGTTTGCCATGCAAATAATCAAAAAAAAAAAAAAAAAAAAAA